CTTTGTGAGTATGCATAATTTTCTTCCTTCAACTATTTATTGCACTTTGCTAATCCCTCAACTTTAAAAATTGTACAATTTTAGTTCTTCTATCAATTAGGTCACATTTGGTAGCTAAAATATTCCAGAATGACAATTTTTTTTATGACATATAATAACATCATATAAATTAAAAGATGAAAAAACAATTATACCCCCGCTTTCATCCTCTTCGTGGTTCTCCCTCTCTCTCACTATTCATCTTCTATTTTCCTCTACCATTAACTATCTCCCCCTCCCTATCTTTTCGCTAGCCAATTACTTCCTCCCTTTTCCTTTCCCAGTCGTATAAGCCCTCTCTCTCCTTCTTTCTTCAAAAAATCCAAAATCACTAAATTTGAAAAAAAAAAAAAAAAAAGCCATTTATGGGTTCAACGAACAAGATTTGGGTTCAAAAAACCCATATTCAAGTGTCACAAACCTTGATTCTTCTAAGAATTTTGTTATTGTTCTTAATAGATTTTAATTGTTGTTTCATTTTCAAAGATTATGTGTGCTTATCATGTTGTTAGTGTAGTTAATTGAAAAGGTTTGTTCTCTATCCTTGAGTTATTATATGAAAGGAAAAGGACAAAGGAAAGATTGGAGCACTAAACGAAGGAGGATGAGGGAGGCGAACCCAAATCATTTGGGTTCACAAGAACTCTTTGATGGGCTCGTAAAAACCCTCTTGGGTTCTTCATGAACCTAGAACAGATCTGGGTTTGCAACAAATCTAGATCGACTCTGGATTTGCAATGAACCCAGATTGTTTCTAGGTTCCTCATGAATCCAATCATAGCCAAGCAAAGGGGATAGGGGGGAAGGGAGAAGAGAAATAATGACAAAGAGAGGAACAATGGCTGGAAATGATGGCAGTGGCAAATAGAACAAAAAGAGAGTAGAGGTGAACGATGGCTAAAAATAAATTAAGGGCATTTTAGTAATTTTATATTTAAAGAATTGAGAATAATTAAAAATGATAATTAACTCTAACTTGACATAGTCCACCTAAGCTAATTATATGATTTGTCATTAACATGTTATTACAAGAAATAAAGAAAATGCTATGTGGATTGAGTTA